TCGATGCGTCACTCCCCTTCTTGCCTTTCCCTTTTCCCTTCTGATCTTTGCCCTTGCCTCTCCCTTTCTTGCCGCCCTTCTGCAAACGGTCAATTTCCATGGGATTAGGGCCATCTAGAGCTGACGATGTTGGCAACATAACTCCTTTGAACTTGTAGTCCTCGGTTGCTTCCTAAAAACCCATCAAGGTTAACTTCAACCGATCATAAGTGGTATCGGGTGTGGAGTATGAGTTCTCAACCTCCCTGGCGTACACCTCACAAGAGTAGTTACCAGAAGTTCATCACTGAGGTCCTGACCAGACGCTGACCGGTAGCTCGCTCTGATCTTCTCAATGGTGTAGAGCAACTCACGCGCATTCTTATGCATCTTCAAGGACATAAGCGCACTAACCAAACCCACTTGTTTCTGTCTCGACCTTGGTGCAAAATGTCTCATCAAGAGTCTCCAGCATCTCAAAACCGTTCTGTGTTGCCATCTGCGATTTCAGGATTAAGCTCCCGGGCCTTCCACGAATGTACACAGCAATGCATAAAGCTGGTAGGCTCGTCTTTGTTGTTCTTCGGTACCTCCTGATAGGTCGCCACGGACTCTCTCCAAATCTCTCTCAATCTGGCTCAGCTCATTCAGGTGCATCGGCTGCCCTAAATTTGTTCTTTTTCATCACCCACGTGCAATTCATCCCTGATATATTTTTTAACTTCTGTAAATGTAGGGTCGTTATGGACACTGGGTGAAAATATAAATATTCTTGCAAATGAATTTCTATAAACATTCAATATTAGATTTTGAATAAGGACAGTCTTACCACCTGTCGAAGAAGCAACTATAATACTTCTACATGGTAATTTTGGCACGTGCTCATATTTGGATTGCTTCAAGTCATATTCAGTTATGTTTATTGGTTTTATTATTGGAACATCTGTCATATAGTTAATATTAAAGATATTTAGAAATTATACTTAAAAAATAACTTGTAATTAATATTAAATGGAACATCATTTTTATGATATGCTGGTGGCGAATATCATAAAAATGGAACAGGTTTTTCCATTGCTTCAATCAATAAAGCATTGACGCTAATTAGTTTGATGCGTTGTAAAGAAAACCCCAGTGCTGAGCCCTCCGAATATTCTATCATGCATGAAATAATGGGATTAAATAACTATTTTGTCTTATTATTTATATGCGCAATAGAAGATATTAATATAATAGATGAAGTAGAAAATATAGAACAAGTAATAATTACTGACAATAAAATAAAAAACATGCTGTTATTATTCATTAGAGATACTTAAGCTAGGAATACGATATATCAAAATAAAAATGTAAATATTAACATAAATGCCAAAAAAGAAAACCAAAAACAAAAATAAGACAGGTTTAAGTGTTTCTTCAACTGATGAAGATAGCGGAGCAGTAATTGAGGTTGCTTGTCCTATGTGCAAAAAGATGTTAGAACTTAAAAATGAGTTAGAAATACAAAGGAAGGGAAATTGTAAATGTAGTTGTGTGCCAGTTGGTTTTAAAGTAAGTAAAAATGATAAGAAAATGAATATTGATAAAACTAAAGACAGTATCAACTTAGAAACTGATGCCCATAATATAACTTTTAAGTTTGGTAGGCAAGCAACACCATCCGATAATAATGAAAACGAAACACAGGAAACTGTTAAACAAATGATGAAAAATATATAATTAAATAAATAAATATCTAAATAAGTATATAGTAATGTCTGAAAATGAAAATTATACTATTAATGATTTAATGAAGAAGATCACATTAATTGGTAAAAATATCAAAAACTTAAATGATATGATTAAATCCATTGATGACAAAATGAAACCAGTTGAACGCGAACAACAAAGCAACGAAGAGAAGGAGAAAATCGAAAAGATATCTCAAGCAAAATCTATAGGAAGACCATCGGGCGACTACCCTACAAAGCAAAAGAAATACTGTGATATGTTGAATACAGGAAAAATCAAACAACCAAAGCAACAAACATTAGAGTTTTATAAAATTATAAAAAATGATGATGAAGTATATGTATTATTTGAATAATTAATATCTAAGTAATTCTAATAATATGAATTTATTAGAATTATTTAGCGGAACAAAAAACGTCGGAACCATAGCAAAGTCGCTTGGATTTAATGTAATATCATTAGACTTGAAAAATGCTGATATCAACACTGATATTTTGGAGTGGGATTACAAACAGTTTGACAGAAACCATTTTGACTTTATTTGGAGTAGTCCCCCATGCACTGAATATAGTGTAGCAAAAACTAGGGGAATTAGGAATATCGAATGTGCAAATAGTATTGTCTTAAAAACTATTGAGATTATCAAATATTTCAATCCTAAATATTTTGTAATCGAAAATCCACAAACTGGATTATTAAAACATCAGGAGTTTATGGATGAGTTTGATTTTAGAGATGTAGATTACTGTAAAGAAAACGCACTAGGCTCTGGAATAACATTACAACTTGGAAACCTAGAGAATTATGTAAAAAGGATTGTGGCAACATCAGGAATAATAAACATATTGAAACCGCACAGAGACTGCCATCGGGCACCAAGGAAAAATGGGGCGACAATCCAATAATACATAAACAGGAAGATTTATACAAAATACCTAGTGAATTAATTTGTGAAATCTTGGTGAGTTTGGTGGATTAAGGATTTTGAGTTTGGGGTTGGGCTTGAAACTTGAAATTTCTAGGTTCATCCAACGACAACACAGTAAAAAATAGGAATTCAAACAAAAGTTGGCGAGAGTTTCCCCTTATATATATATATATTATATCAAAAGTATCCCCGCCCACCCAGAAAAGAACCAAACATAGCCACGCATGCGAGGCAGTGACTGCATGCGGCGGCATGCGATCGCGGTAGCGGCACACACTGCAAGGCTGGGACCTGCCGAGGCAGTGACTGCAAGCGGCGGCACGCGAGCGCGGCGCCTAAGGCACCGCCATGCGCTGGCCTCTGGGGCTGGCAAACGAGATCTTCTTGAAGCTGCTGAAGGCGAAACGAGAGGTGCCCGGCGCGGCGGAGAGGCAGACGACCCTGGCCGGGCAGGACGGCAAGTGCGCCCTGTGCGGCTGCCTCAATCTGACACAAAAGGGAAATGGGGCTCATGCAATCTTCTAGATTGCTTATGGATACAGAAAACGACAAATTGCAGGAAACAGGGGAGGCACATAGATGTGCACAGGATGACGAGGGTGTGCTGGAGCTACTGGAGGCTCTGAGTTTGAGGTGGGGATCTGCAAATGGACCCCACGCTTCAAGTTAATGCCCTTCAAAGGAGAAGATCATTTGTCGGAAAGCAGGCTAGTTTGAAACGAACGGGACAATTTTGCAATTTCAGAATTGACAAATACAGTAGCCGCCTAAAATGGCAATTCGAACTCCCCTTTGGATGGTGATTTTTTGCGGCGGCACAAGTGGTGGCCGTGTATCGAGGACAGCGAGATCTACCAGATCAATATGGTGATGGACACAGATGCAGACAGCACACGACGTGGTCAAAGGTGCTGATGGTGCAGGAAAGGCCACAACCCGGGACACCACGGACGGCGAGCCGGAGTTACCAAAGTGCAAGAGTATTGAGAAAATGTGCAAAGTGCATCGGGTACGAAGGCATCATGTCAGATTGAGGCTTTAGTTCAATCGTGCCCGCATGCATGAAATGAACATGAATCACGATTGCCACACAGGCTCTAATAGCCACAAGAAAAGCTCTACTGCCCGCTCGACATTTTGCGGATGCACGGAAACACATAATGTGTGAGTGTGAATCAGCTGGAGCGTTTTGGTTTGAGTCAAAAACATATTTTGCCGATAAAGTCCCTTGAGTTGGATTTTGACATTGCAGGTTGGTATAAGCGTGTGCCGTCCTGCAGAGGTGGCACGCTTTTGCGCGTCGATTGGAGACGCCCTGCTTTGTCAGGACATCCAACGGGTGGGCCATGTGTAGTTTCCTTGCTTCAACTTGCATCCTTCTTTCAGCTGCCCTGATTCGCTGTGATCTGTGGCCCAACAAAGTATGTTAGCATTCATGGTTTCACTCAACTTTGGTGACATGTGTTTGCATCAAGCTGGCCCCCGAGCACCATGGCGGAAGCAGATCAGGACATGGCGGAGACAGACCATCATGCGCGTGGGCGCGTGTGCAACTCGAGCATCCTCCCCCCCCTGTGCGCCCGATTTGTGTCCGAAGAATCCACCCTTCCCACCCTGGTGGGGCGGGGGATTGGTGCCTGGACGGGGTGCATTGTTCAAATAGGCGGAAGGGGGGAGGTTGCAAACAATAAGCAGACGGACAGGTTGATGTTTCCAACATGCTGATTGCGAATAGCAACTCAACATTTGTGCTTTGTGGCATGTTCAACCACAAGATGTGGTTTGGGGTTAGAATTGCGGTGTTTGGCACATGAGATGTGCTGCATTCAGTTGTTGTAGCCGACATTGCATTTTAGCTGTTGTCATGTTCAGCAACTATTTCATTCATCGGCACTTGGACTATCGGTAGCCTGAATTATCAGTCATGTTTTGGTGGCTAACTTGGTGCTGCACACGAATGCTGCAGCTTTTTCGGCCGTACCGGGATTCCACAACACGTATGGACATGTCATTCGCAACCATGACAGTCATTCCAGACGAGGGCACTGTTGGATTGTGGATCAGTGCGGTTTCCGCATTGTTAAACTGCATGTTTGTCAAGACAAGCAATTGGCCGCCAACGCAGACCGGTTTCACAGCTGCGCGCTGGCTGCGTGCCTGCTCGGAAAGGTGGACAGGCTGCAAACCAAGGCCGAACAAATGGGGAGCTTCTCAATTTGCTCCACGTTCTTGGACGCAGCAAAAGGAACAAATGGAAAGGGCGCCTGCATTCCGACACCATCACAAGCACCCATTGGCAATACATTGGAAGCTTCTGAGTTGCTGAAATATGAGCACATCTTGATTACAGATTGTGCACCAGGTGTGGCCAAGCTGATTTCAGCTGCTTTGGCATCGCAATGCAGTGCCTTGCGCATGTTTGTGCTCGCTGGTTTTTCGACATGATGAGGAGTTTGGAAACTATCGCTGGGCATTGCTTGCCTCATGTCAGATGCACTGCTTTGGCCAGAACTTACCCTCCTTTTCACTTAGTCATGCAGTCAACAAGACAGTGACGTGGATGGATGTCCTGCACGTGCCAGGCAGCATGTGTGGGCTCGGTATGGACAGTGCCCAGATTGCAATCGCTGACGCACGGGTGTGACGCAAACAGTTTTTCACAAGGACTGACGGGAAATTGCAGAGGAAGACCAAAGGTTTTTTGTCTGAAGCCTACACAGAGGCCTCACTGCATATTTCGTTTACGGCTCAGGCAGATGGACGGCCGTCCACGGCAAGTGGCGCAGTCGCAGGGAAGGCGCGGCGGCTTTCCGGGGACGCAGCAGCAAGGCGCTTTGGATGTGCGTGGATGAGGGTCTTTTGGTGCAGCAGTTCAGAGGATTCTCTGTGATATTTGTTTGTTGCTTGGAGAATCGTGTTGCAGCTTGAAACTAAACATGCAACGTTTTCCAACGTGGTCGGACATCCAATGGTTCCATCGGCCACTGAGAGCGCCAGGCCCGTTCTCCTGTCTGCGAATGTGGCGCCTGCAGTGGTTTTGTGCCGAGACGTTTTTCTTTCGGTATTGCAAAAGCCAAGGCTACCCTCTGTGTTGAGGTCTGCTTGACTCGGCAAACACAATTTGCAGCATGCGTGGCATTGACAACGTGCCCGCCAGTATCGGAACCCTCCAATGGCCAAAGTTATGGCGCGGACCTTGGCCATTGATTTTGCCCACGGGCTTTTGCACTGCCACTCGCGTTTTGCCACGCTGATGCATTTGTGCTACTGTTCGTTTCACTCTCCAAGGGGAAACAGCCATCAGCGCAGTCGCGACAGCAGCTTGGCTCCGGAAGTATTGAACTTTTTGGTGTGTTTTTGGTTCTCGCTTTTGGTTTGCAGCTCAGTTCGGACACACGGAGTCTCATGATGAACACAACGAAACTTCCCTTGCTGGAGGACTGGGCACGCTCTAGAAAATGGTTTGCTTTTGCGCCCAACCATGATGAGGAAGTGCGTTTTGGATTCTTATGTCTACTTTTGCACTGGCTTGTTACCACCTGGAAAGCACTTTGCCAGCTTGCTGTAGCGAATGTGACTTTTCTGTCCGAGGAAGGCTACGAGCCCGCGAGCGATACAGATCTCCCGTGAGGTGCCATTTGTTCTCTTTCCGAGAGATCCAAGTAGGCAATATTTTTCGGAAGGCTACGGAAGACAGAGCACCTTTGAGTCTGGGCCTCATGCGTTGCTACGTTCGGTTCATGACTTGCTTCAGAATCGTTTGGGCCTTTTGGTGGGTCAGGCCTTTCTTGCTTCATGCAGTCGTCAGCCTCGGTTTGTCAGGCTTCAAACAGACAGGCATTGCTCCTGTTGTTCACAGTCTAAATACATGATTAGGCGCAGTTTGACGGTGAATACCATGTGAGCCTTCAAAGACGCATGCCTACCAGACCCAAGCTGCGTGAATTGCCATGTGGGGCAGCCGGGTCCACCCGGCCTTGCACCAGACGCTGGGCTTGGAGCCTTGAGGCCCCACTGTGAGTACGCCGCCCTCCGCTTCGGTGCGGGGCCACTACAGCCCTCAGGCAGGGGGCTTGTAGAAGCAGAGTTTGCAACTACAGCTTCTGTTTCTTGGCGGGTGGGATGCCATGGTTTTCCCGTGCAATTGTCTTTCCATGAATTGCTGGCGCAGAAATGCTGAGAAGCAATATGTACATAATATATCAGTATCCTCTTTGTGTGTGCAGCACATGCTCGTTCGCCCCAAGGCACCTCCCCCTGGTGACGCTGCGGCCGGGCTTGGACACGCTTTGCGCCGAGAGGCATCTGAATGGAAGCTGAGCAAGAGGAGAGCGTTGAGTACACAGTTTCCTGTGACTGAGAGTGGACAGGCCGTGCTAGAAGGCTCCGACAGGCCAGCAGCCAAGACTCACGCGCAACAAGATGAGCTCCTGCCAAGATACCTGTACATGCTAAGAATATGTTTTGTCGGTTTTGTCATGCTTTACCTCCCAAGTTGATGTCTGAGTACTGATACCTCCTGAGGTTGCACCGGTCCTCCCCTTCGCATCTGAGCACATCATCAGCCAGTGCGCCTTCGGTTGAGCAGCATGGGCGCTGAGAGAAACATGTTTGCAGATGGCGAAGGTGCCCCAAAGCCGCCAAAGCCCCCAAAGCCCCCAAAGCAAAGTAGGAGCTGAGGAGCTGAGGAGCTGAGGAGCTGAGGAGCTGAGGAGCTGAGGAGCTGAAGCCGGGCATATTCTGGTGTGCCAGGCGCGCAGATGGGTGCGCTGCGAGAGAAGCTCCGGCAACTGCTGCCCAAAGACCTGCAGGGCGCGCAGGCACGGACGCCTAGGTGAGTTTGCCGCATGCGAGTTATTCACTGGCCTGGGCCTGTAGGTCTGGGCAAGCAACAGTCGACTGGAGAGCACATGGAGTTGGGTCTTTCGCGTACGACTTGCTATCTGGCTTTGGCTCAAGATGGCTTACGACGCAGAGGATCCACCCAGGATCGTCGCGCGCGCGGGGCTCAGCATATCAGATGTGAATCAGACTGGTCGGGAGACTGACAGAGCAGACGCAGGGGAGTCATGTTGGTCATGAGCTTCGAGAGATTGCGCATTTTTCCTTGTTTTGTGTTGGCGACTTTGTTGTAAGATCTCCTGCGAGTTGCCCGAGTCAGGTCCAGCCCAAGCAGTTTTAGACTCTCGGTCACTTCTGGCGGCTGAAACCGCCGAGGGCCCGGAGGAATGGTCACCAATGTCCACCGGTGTCATGGCTGCAAAGGCACACACACACACACTCATCAAGTTTCTTCAGAGTTGGCTTGCACCAAAGTGCCCGTTGCTCCTTCAAGTGGGTTGTGTGATGACAGCACAGGTAGCAACAATGGGAAGCGGGGCGAGCCCGGGCTGCGCTTAAGGTTCATTGAGCAGTGGAAAGTGCTTGGCACGCTTGCATGCCTAAAGCGAATCGAAGATCCAGTCTGTGCCACACCGCCCTGTCGGGCCAGGTTTGACTGTTTGCAATCCCAGGATCAGCACCCTCCATATTCATCCCTATTGAGAGATGATACCCAGGCGAGTGCATGCAGAATCCAACAGGGCAAGGGTTTGTTCTTGCTCTGCTCCCCATCGACCAAGCCTGTGCAAATGGGCCCCACGGATTCGTGCGTAGGAACGAACTAGATTTGTTCCCTGGGGCAGCGAGAGGTCGTGGAACATGCTCGTCTTCAAGTCCAAAGAATTTTAGCCCTTTCAATTCTTGCAAAGTGATTGAATTTGCAAAGGCGGTATGATAAGTAAAGCCAAGTTTTGTGGATTTGGTCGAAATATGGGCAGCCTGAATCATTTGGCAATTCAATCCTTGGACGCAGACACTGACATCGCGCAAGAGCTTCCGCAACAGCCTGCTTCAGCGTCAGGCTGGTGCTTGGGTGGGCAATGCATTGTGCATGGCTGTTTGGAGAACTTATTTTCAGAATGGCTTTCTTTCCAGTATATATCCACACCTCTTCAAAGCATGTTTTCGCATGAAGCACTCAGCATGGTTTGAGCAAATGCTTTGCGCTGGAATGCTTCTCATTACAGGAGCCATTCCTGATCCAGAGGAACGTGGTTGGATGGGTGGTCTTTGTCAACATGCTCATGATAGGTCTGGAAACAGATGGTATCGAATCGCACATGTGGCGACTTTCCGAAGTTCTTTTTGTGCTCTTCTATTGCAGCTTGTCAGCCAACAGTTTGCTTGACAATGCTCGCTGGACACCACTCTAGACTCTGGGGTGTGTTTCTGTTGCCTTGATATCCAATCGTGTGCACTCGCAGCTTTTCAGCATAGATCCTTGACACTTGGAATGGAAAGCTGAAAGTGTATGGCTCTCAACATTTCCATCCAAGGCTATGAGTTCGGTGTGCGATTACATCGCAGTGGACCTCAGATATTCTGTGCACTCTGCACGGAGAGCAAAGACATTGAGTGCGAGGCACGGAAGCTCAAGAAGAGCCTTTTTCTTTTTGGCGGAGAGCTTTTGTTGGCAGGCAGCTGTCATACACATGCTGGATGCGCTGGTTGTACCTTGGATTGCGGATGTGGCGCCAGTTGATTTTGGGGTGGCCCAGATATCAACCTTGCAAACAACAAGTCCTGGGCATGGGAAAGCTGTCAGTGTCGTGCTTGCTTGAATGCGAAGGGCACACAACGCAAAGGATTATTCTTTGGAAGGGGCCAGCTTTGCTCGACTCAGACAGGGCGCAGTGGCTTACTTAGGTACTCATGGGACTTGCTAATCTGGTCGGCATTGTTGCTTTGCAGATGCCCATGCCCCCGTCTCTTGGCTGCACGTTTGATGTTGTTGCATTGGCATTGAACGGGTATTTTGTTGTAGCCTTGGACAAAGATGGCGATGTTGTAGCCTTGGAAGTTGAGCGATGGCGATGTTATTTTCCGAGCTGGTGGAGAGCCTCGGGTGCTCTCACTGCCACCGAATGTCTGCCATGTAGCTGGACCACCAGCTTTCCGTGACAAGGGTGGAACAGTTCCCTGTATGTGCCATAGGCAAAACCCGGTTCTTTTGGGTCGGTAGGCCGGTAGGCACGGTCACGGACCCCTTGAAAAATCGACACTCATGATCAGAATGCCTACTCAGGGAACCGGCATGCCCCACAGAAGCAGCTTCAGCCACGTCCTATGCCAGAGAACCAGGGTTCATGCGCGGCCATGGACACCAGGTGGATGCTCTATACGCGCATGGTGCGGGGCTTGCGGGTCTTCTACCTCTTTGAGTCGCTGCATCGCTTTGTGATGGCGCTCAGCGGCATGTTCTCCACCTTGACCTGGATCTTTGGTTCCCTGTTTGCAGAGAAGATTGCAAGGTACTGAGGCAAGAGGCTTGTGGTTGACTGTCTTGGACAATCGATTTGGCAATGTGCCCTGTTTGGTTTCTTCTGCGCACTCTGCAAGAGGGGGCACGCGTACATTTGCTTGTTTTGAGGTGTGCTTACCTTCACTGTCTATTTGGTCTCGGTTCTTTTGACGCGGGGCACTTAGAGTGGAGTTGCGTGGTGAGTGGGCATTTTAATTGGCACGAGTGTTTGCGAGTCCGGTTGGGACAACATGCGCTTCCTGCAGCATAGATCCAAGGCACTACGCAAAGCAGTCGCTCAACATGTCAGGTGCTACTGGCTTGTCGTTGTTCTCAGCATTTTTGAAAGTAGTCATTCCAGAGTTGGTTGGACTGCCACTATCTTGGTGTGATGTCGCCAAAGCATTGCCATCCGCTGAACAAAGCACGTGAGTCAGCTTGAGACTCGGACCAGGTCGCGCTCCGGAAGAGGAGTATTTTGGGAGCATTCTTTCCACCATGTTCACGCTGTTCCAGGCCTGCAAAGTAAATCTTGAAGTGTGCCCTACCTTGGCTCAGCTGAAGTTTGCAGAAGTAGAAGCTGTTTGGGGACTCAAGTTGTCCACCGGAGGTCACCACGATGGACTCCTGGCCAGACATTGCTGCTCCTCTCATAGAGCAAAGTGTCACGGCCGAATTGACTCCGGAGAGAATTTTTCCCTAGATATTTGACATACATCTTTTCACATGTGTATATATGTATATACATATACACAATGTGTTGGTTCCATTTGCCCCGTCCCAGCATGAATAGCATGAAGGGCAGCCCTGCAAGGCTTGTTAGACGCAGCCTGTTCCAAGGTAATTGGTGGCGGATGTTCTTCGTCCTTTTCATTGCATTCTCAGCGGCTTGGACTCGCAAGTGACCTGAGACGTGACGGTTCGGTTGTGCATCCCAGGCATGGACAATGATTTCACTGGTGACGGCAGTGGTGTCGGACAATGTTATCCAGGCCAGTGTCCTCCATGAGAGCTGCGCAGACTCTGAATGCGAATGCACCGCACGCATGTTGCATTGCGGCTCGGCAGTTTGTTCAAGTGAGCGGAGGGTGTGCGAGTATGCAATTCCTTCCTACGAGGCAACACAAGATCGCAAAGAGAAGCAGAAGGAGGCGCAGATCGAGACGCCTTGTTCAGTGAAGTTCGCCGCGCAAAAGTTCGAATAAGGAGGAATATTTGATTCCGGCGCAGGAATTTCCTTGTTCTGAGTGAGGCTTGAGTTTGCTGCTTGAGGATTCTGCCTTTTGCGGATATTGAGTCGCGTTGGAGCTGGGAGGCACAGGAAAAGAGGCGCAAAGAGTTCGTCGAGTTCCTGAAAGCTGCTGAGCCATATGGGCAAGGGGCAGAGGAATGCGTTGGTAGGAAGTCTCCTCACGTTGTTAATTCTTGTTGCAGTAACTTCCCAATGGCTTAGACTTGAGTGGGAGTTGCGTGGCCATGCCTAGCGATTTAGACGTTGTGTGGTGGCATTGATCAGAAATGAAAGAAAGCCCATGCTGCTTCTACGCAAGTTTATGTTGGGTCGGGGTTTTTGGATGCTTGGGCGGGCCGAGTTTCACGCGGGATAGCAAACAGTTAGTGCATCTGGATGGAGTGGCGCAGATGTGTGAAGCAGCGCAGAAGCAGAGTCTACCCCAGCAGGATATGCTTTGTGATAGCATGTCCTCCGGAGATACCCAAGGTCTGTTTTGTCAATGCGGATGCGGATGGTGATTTGGCGGCATGAGCGGATGACAGAGCATAGCTGGATAGGGCAGAACAAGTTGTCCTGGCTGCACTTTGATTTGTCCTGGTTTTAGTGTCATGTAAGACGTTCCTGTCCTGGCCGGCAAAAGGTTCAATCATTGTTCAAATTGGCAATTGGGAAATTGATGATGCGAGTGTGCCTCTTTAGTTTGTTGTCATAGAACTCAGGAAATATGGTCCTTGACAAAGAGGAGTTTGGCACACTCATCAAAGATGAGCAGGCTGACTTGCATTTTCATGTCAGCCCACCGTGATCACTTTTTGGTATTCGGAACGCTTAGAAAAGTTGCAAATGCTCACATCTTCATCCGTACACGTTTGATGACTTGCCTGATCGCAGTGGAGTGCTGACTTGTCCTGCAATGCGTCATGGGTTCTGCTTGTTCCGGGACTGGCAGTGGGCTGCTGCGCAGGTTGTGGCAAAGATGGAGGATTTGGGTGTCACCTTGCCTCTGCAAGAGCTTGAGAAGGTGCTTCCGCGTCTTTAAGAGTCCGGGATGCATACGGAGAACATGTCTGGGGTATACTAATCTCATCTTTAACTAGGAATTTAATTCCTTGGCTGGAGTGACATGCGGGATGGCAACCCTACCAGGCAAACACTTACCGTTTTGCATTGCTAGGGTCGAGCGATCGCGAGGCCAAGTAGACAGCAATGGCCTATTGTTAGCAGGGTGAGAGTACTTTGAGCCT